ATTTGGAAAAGGTGTGCATATATATAGTTTCATCCCATACACATTACCTACGTAAAATGTTCTCTTGCCATACATGATGATTTTGAGTCTTGTGACCATTGATAAGTTTGATTTTTGTCCGTAATATGTGATTCAGATTTACAATCTAACAAGAAAACATTATTGAATTATCTATATTTAAACTATTTGAAAATGTTATCTATCATTTTCACTTGTTGGTATGAGTGTTAGGGCTGAGATTTGGCATATTCTTTTCTATCAAGTATACTTCAATGAAATCTTAGTAATTTTATGTTTGTGTTTGCTAAAAACAGATTGCAGAAACAGCGAAGAAACTGGGCATCTTTGTGATTTCTGATGAAGTTTATGGGCATCTAACTTTTGGCAGCAACCCTTTTGTGCCTATGGGAAAGTTTAGTTCCACCGTACCGGTCATTACGCTTGGCTCCATATCGAAGACATGGATTGTTCCTGGTTGGAAACTTGGCTGGATTGTGAAAAATGATCCCAAGGGCATCTTTGATAAAACTGGGGTATACTTAAAAATTGTTGTTCTTTGTGATTAATATTTTGCTTGACTAGCTTATATATAAAATGGAGTTATTATTAATTTCTTTGTTCTTTATATATATCTATCTATGTAGCCTCGTCAATGGGCTAGGTCGGGCTAGGTCGACCTAAATTTAATGAGTTTGGGCTAGGGCGAGCTGAACTTTAAAAAGAAGAAAGAAAATAATGGGTTGGGTCAGATTGGATTTATTTAAAAATTTCAAAACCTAAGTTTAGCCCATAAATTGGCCCTGAGAAAGTCCATCGGGTCGGGTCGGACTAAACCTAACAGACCTGGTCGATATGTGTCTACTTTTTTTTGTCTTTTTTTTAGTCAATTTTTTTTTTTTCTATGTTTAGTTGTGTTTCTATGTTTCCCTTTTGTCATAGTTCTCTTTTTACATTTGTCTATATGTTTATCTTCATTTTTTTCTTTGTTCATAACTTAATAGTTTTTTTTTTTTTTTTTTTTTTCCATAAACATGAAGATATAGATATAGTGATATCTATGTGAAGTATTTGTCATATTTTGTAAACTTAATTTGTTCCAGATTGTGGACAGCATTAAGAACTATCTGGACATCACTACAGACCCAGCAACCTTCATTCAGGTATTTATTTCTTCAAGTACTTAGTTTTTTTTATTTTATTTTTATTTTTTTGGAACTAAAACTTCAATAGACAAATATCAATGTTGTTTGGAGCACTTAGCTATGTTATTGCGCGTATGCATGTACACATGCATACATACATACATACAGTCGTAAATTTAGGTGCGTAGCTTCAATTTTTTTTATTTTTATGTGTACTAATCCATTCACATGGGAAATATTTATTGTTAAATGATTCTCATTTTCAGGGAGCTATACCTCAAATCTTTGAGAGAACAAAAGAGACTTTTTTCTCCAGCATAATTGGCATCATGAAAGAAGCTGCAGATATTGTATATGAAATGATTAAGGAAATCCCATGCCTTACTTGCCCGCACAAACCACAGGGATCCATGGTCGTATTGGTAATGATAATTAAATACATTTTATTTGGGACTTATTGGATTGGAAGATTCACAAATAGAGTAATAAGCTGAAATTATTAGTGACAAATTTTTATAATAAACAGGTAAAGCTAAACCTATCAACACTTGAAGGCATTGATGATGATATACAGTTTTGTCTGAAGTTGGCCAAAGAGGAGTCAGTGATTGTTCTGCCAGGTAAAAATAATTGAACAACTTGTGAACTTTCTCTTACTCAATAATATTGCACTCCGAGAACATAACATGTCAGACTGTAATTTAGCAACACGGCCAAATATATTAGACATCAACTTGGAAATGGTTTGCTTAGTTAGATATTCATTAATTCATATTTTTCAGGGGTCACTGTTGGACTGAAAAATTGGCTCCGCATTACTTTTGCTGTTGAGCTTCCAGTACTTGAAGATGGCCTTCAGAGGATAAAAGCCTTCTCACAAAGACATGCCAAGAAGCAATAGGATCTCTTCTTTTGTCTTCGTCACAGTCAAATTAAGTGGATGATGATTTGCTAATCGGCAACTTCATCTGATCCCCAAATAAACATTCAACGTAACAAATAAAAAAACAATAAGAACAAGCTAGTACTGTTGATCTTATCTTCACATGACTTTCTTGTACGAACCCTTAATTTTCATGTATGTGTGCAATTATTTAAAAGAATGTGGGGTTAATTGCTCTAATGCCCTTTCAAAGTATGACCAAATCCATATTATTGCCCCTTGAAAGTAGACCTGGCAATGGGTTGTGTGGTGTCAGTATTTTAAATAGGTTAAAAATGATCAACCCGAACACGACCCATTTATAAATGGATTGCTACGACACCACCCGTGTAACCCGTTTAACAAATAACTGTTTTAAAATTTAAATTTTTTTGGATAATTGGATAAAAATAACAATTTTCTGAACATTCCAAAATCACAACCAAATTAAATACAACAAAAATCCAAAATTACAATAAAAATCACAACCAAATTAAATACGTGACAACCAAAATTACAATCAAAATTACAACCAAAATCCAAATAACTATAACATTCTCAAGAGCTTTTTTGAAACCTTCTGTATCTGCAAGAGAAACTCTAGCAGCAACTTTCACTGAATCTGCAGTTTGAACAATAAACATTGTCAAGCATATTGGAGCTTGAGGATAGAGAGAGGTGGTACAAAATATTTGGGGGTGGTCAAATTTCCCTATATCCGCCAACTCGGAGACCTCCAATCCACCAAGGAGGAATCCCCTGTCTGCCAAAGAGAGTTTCGCAGAAGGAAGTTTCGCCAAGGGAATTTTGTAAGACCCGTGTCTTGGGGAATCAAGAACGGTGAGCAATCCCACATTGCTCGGGGAGGGAAAGGTGAAGTGCTTTATATGTGTGGACACTTCTCTTCCTAGCAAGAGGCCTTTTGGGCAAGATAGCATTAGCTTGAGCCCAAGAACAAAACCGTGAGGGGGGAGGCCCAAAGCGAACAATATCTTGCTAGGGGAGTCGGGTCGTGACAAGTTCCGCAAAAGAGAGTTCTGTGAAAGGAAGTTCGGTTGAGGGAGTTCCGCCGAGGTAAGTTTCACGAAAGGGAGTTCCTTCGAGGGAGTTCCGCGGAATGGAGTTCCTCAAAGGGAGTTCTGCGGAAGGGAGTTTTGCCAAGGGAGTTCTGCGAAGGGAATTCTGCGAAGGGATTTCCATCAAGGTAATTCCATCGTCTTCCTAGCAAGAGGCCTTTTGGGCAAGATAGCATTAGCTTGAGCCCAAGAACAAAACCGTGAGGGGGGAGGCCCAAAGCGAACAATATCTTGCTAGGGGAGTCGGGTCGTGACAAGTTCCGCAGAAGGGAGTTTTGCCAAGGGAGTTCTGCGAAGGGATTTCCATCAAGGTAATTCCATCGAAGGGAGTTCCGCTATTGAGGTTCCTCGCCGAAGCCAAGTCCCATGCTCGAGGTTCCTCGTTGCTATGTGTGACCAAGCAACCATCACCCATCGAGGTTCCTCGCCGACACCAAGATTTCCGGAGGATTGCATGCACGTGATGAAGGCCTTACAAGGAAAGAAATCAAGATGAGTGATGACAATAGGGAATGTTCTAAAAGAAGAGAAACTCAAGCAAACAAATTATCTCAATCAAAGCAATCCCACGAATTTAGTGAGCCTCAGAAGGAAGGAGTTTCAAAAGAGTCGACCTCGGCCATTTAATGGCCAACCCATGGGCTGGCGGATGCCCCTATATAAACCTCGTTAAACAAAGGGAGAAGACACACATCACCAAACACACAAACCTATTTTTCGTCTTGCACTTTTCTTTCCATAGACTTAGGATTTTACTTTTCAAGCCCTTAGTGTAGCAAGTTCTTTTTCTTAGTGTAAGTTTACTTTCTTGCAATTTACATTATCTTGTCTTTTAAATTCAAGTCTATTTCAATTGCTTTACTTCTCATTGTTATCGCATTTTCATTAAGTTTAATTTCAAGTTTAATTTAGTTTATCGTTCTTATTTCGTTCTTGCTTTATTTTATGTTTATTTATCGATTGGGGGAGTTAAATACTAGATTTCCATATGAGATTGTGGAACTCCTTTCTCTTAGCTCAACATTAGATCCTCATGATGCTTTCAAGCGATTTAACATTAGTGATATATGCACTCTTGCTGATAAATTTTACCCTTTATATTTCACTACAATTGAGTTGCATGCTTTAAATAAGCAATTGGGATTTTATCATATTGATATAGATCGCATTCAAGCCTTCAAGAATATTGATTCCATCCCTATATTACTTGAGCGCTTAATTGAAACAAAATTAAAAATCAATTTAGGTTATGAGTTTCTTTTTGATTGTATGTTACTTCACATTGAAAGAGAATTTGTTGATAATATAGATAATGAATCAATAATTAGTGATTTTAATGCTATGAAGACTCGAATGTTGCAACTTATATTAGTGTTATTTTAGGGGTAAGGCTTAGGGGTGGCAATTTCAGGTACAACCCGTTACACGACTCGAAACCCGCTAAAATACCTATGTAATCTAGAAACCCGCTAAAATACCTATGTAATCTACAAACCCACTAAAATACCTTTGTAACCCGCAAACCCACTAACTCGTTTATTTGTTTATTCTTCATTTTTCTAATTTTTTAATGTCTTTTAGTTGTTACCATTTAGCGGGTCAACCCGACACAACCTGAAACTCGCACGAGAAATTAACGAGCTAACTAGTGCACGACACTTTTATTAAACAAGTTGGGTTTAGGTTGAGCATTCATGACATGTACATAATCCTGACACGACACAAACCCGACACGACACGACCCATTGCCAGCTCTAGTAAGGCTCATTATGTCCTTTCCCAGGGTGTATTTTTTCTTATCAATGAAATTTACTCGTACCATCAAGTTTTCAATAGGTTTGTAAATAAGGTAAATTTAGCCCATGCTATTTTGAAATCATGGGTTTGTCCCTGGTTGCGCTTGAGGTGAATCACCAACGCGCACTCTGATGTGCGCCTACGCACGCCTTTGAAAACACTGGTTGAAGCACATCCTCCACCATGGACTCTACCGAAAATGACAATGTCCCTCATGCCGCCATTGTTTCTTGCTTCCCTACCACCAGAACACTCAGTGGTGGACCCATGAAATTTTTAGAGAATGGGCAATATTTAAAAGGCTAAAAGCTCAATAAATAAAATATACAAAAAAGCTACCAACTAATACCATCCATATTTCGTAGCTACATGTGCATGGCCTTCGTTTTTTCCCTCTCACTTTTTCATATACAAAGCCCCAGACCCCCTAGTTAAGTTTTGAAAGGCGAGACACTTTTGGTCACTTAAGACAATGTAAGCCTTGAAGTATTGAGGTGTAAGCCTTTCATGACATGAATTTTTTTATTCTAAGAAAGACATTTAAGTTTGCATATTATGCTAGGCTGATGTAATATCAAATAATTAAGATGTTCCAAAAAAATAATAATAATTAAGGTTATACTACAGACAAAACGCAACACACATCTTCTTCCTAGCGCATTTTCTTCCTCTCGTGTCTTCTTCCTCATGTAGCGTCTCCGTGCCAGAAAAAGAAGTATGCAATTCTAACTAGACACACCATTTTTTTTTTTTCCCCATATGAAGGAACAATCTTGTCGTAGAAGATACGATTTTAGCTACAAAAATAGGAAAGCCTCTTTAAGACATTTAATTGAACAAATGGTGAGCATCATAGGGGCAAATTCTGGCCTCTCCAGGTGACTTTCTGGCGAGGAGAGGTGCAGTTGTACCTCCTTGTGCCTTAATAGGTTCGCCAATGAGCACACTAACGATTCTCTTCATCCATTCATCCAAATTAGGCCTTAACATGCTTGAATTGCATGAATTATGCTCTCTAAAGCCATCATTATTACCTAAAGCTCAATGAACTGAAAGATAAACACAAAAAGGATTAAAAGCACAAGTTTAACTCAAAAACATAACCAAATCATAAGTTAAAAGGGTACAAAATGATATGTAATTTATGCACCGATCACCTTTCATGACATGAATTTTTTTATTCTAAGAAAGACATTTAAGTTTGCATATTATGCTAGGCTGATGTAATATCAAATAATTAAGATGTTCCAAAAAAATAATAATAATTAAGGTTATACTACAGACAAAACGCAACACACATCTTCTTCCTAGCGCATTTTCTTCCTCTCGTGTCTTCTTCCTCATGTAGCGTCTCCGTGCCAGAAAAAGAAGTATGCAATTCTAACTAGACACACCATATTATTTTTTTTCCCCATATGAAGGAACAATCTTGTCGTAGAAGATACGATTTTAGCTACAAAAATAGGAAAGCCTCTTTAAGACATTTAATTGAACAAATGGTGAGCATCATAGGGGCAAATTCTGGCCTCTCCAGGTGACTTTCTGGCGAGGAGAGGTGCAGTTGTACCTCCTTGTGCCTTAATAGGTTCGCCAATGAGCACACTAACGATTTCTCACTCTAAGCCAAAACTTAAGACCATACTTCACAATCCCACCATCAAATCCGCAACTTCTCAAAAAGATTTATACCAAATCAATGCAATTTAAACTCTTAAATACGTGTAATTAGAACAAATAGATTATGTCTCTATATTGCGAGAAAAACTTCCCTGGCAGGTCAGCACTCCACACAAGTGTCCCCATCCAATAAGCAACTGACAGCTGGCAACCTATTTTACCTCAATTTAAAATATTAAACATATTTTCAGTCCCAAAAAATCCTGCTCCTCCTTTTGTATCTCCGGCATCCCTATTGCTCTCCCATTCCTCTTTCTCTCCAGTACTTCTCCTCCATCACCCATATATATGTATTGATTTCTCTAATCTTTTTATTATTTTATATTTTTTATTGAGTAATTCATTGGTGAATTTTGGAAAATTTGGAAGAGAGAGATTGGGTTGGCTTCGGTTTCATCAAGGAACAGTGAATTGAAAAATTATTTTAACAGTTTAAAGTGCAATTTTGCTCTTTCAACAAAATTGAAAAATTTAAAAACTTTAAACTTTAAAAAAAGAAAAACCAAACCCATCACAAAAGTTCCCCCATTAATGACCCACCAGCCCCATCCTCCTCCCACCACCGACATTGGTCACTAGTGGTTTAAACAAAGAATTAATGAAATACTTTAAGATTTTCAAGAGAGAGACCAAAACACTGCAAAAATCAAGCGATCAAATCAGATTATTAACCCATAACCCATTTTGGA